CCAGAAAAGGAACAGGAAGAGCTACACACTTGGTTTATTTTTGACTTTGGTTTATTTAAAAAACAAAAAGCCAAAAAAAAAAAAAAAAAAAAAAATGGGCAATTACTGATCAAATGGCTGTAAGCAGAGAAGCAGACAGATTTTGATCGGAAGAGCACACGTCTGAACTCCAGTCACCTACCAGGATCTCGTATGCCGTCTTCTCAAAAAAAAAAAAAAAAAAGACTACACCCTTAACCACTCCCAAAGGGATTTTACTAAGCCTCTCCCAGAGCTACCACTTGAACAAGACGCAGCCTGTCCAGGCCTTTTTGGGGCAAGCCCTGTTGTGGGCAACTGCAGTGTCAGCTCCAGAATTCTCTGGGTGCCTGTTTTGTCCCTGCCTTCCTTCCATGTAGGCAGCATGACGTGAACACTTCCTCTCAGCAGCCAGGTGACTGAACTCTGAAGCCACAGACAAATAGCACTGAGATGCAAACAGGAGAAAGGAGGAGTAGGGTGGACAGAAGTGAGGGGATTGGTTCCCTGCACAGGCAAAGGTCCTCTAATGCACAGGCATGAGCTTTTTCTATACTTTTATTTATGAAATGCTGATTAAACTGGTACAAAGTTAGTGTCTGTCCACAGGCTATTGGAGGAAGTTAGTTGTCTTCTTCCTCACCCTGGCAGGGGCTGCTGGCCAAAGTGGCTTTATCCTTCCTTTTATTGTGGCAGCAATGGGCTGGGAAAGGCTCTGGGGCACAGAGAGGGCTCAAGGGAAAGAGGAGGATGGGGAAAGCCTAGGGCAGCACACCATCCTCCTGGAATTGGAACCTTGACCCCAAGTGTCTCGGCAGGAGTTACGCTTCTCTGAAGCAGTGGTTTGAGCCAGGCAGCAGGAAGGATGACCTCACTGTGACCCTCTCCTGTCTTCCCAGGGAGGTTCAGGAGTGTCCTCTTTGCTACTTATCGAGTAAGGGTCCAGTATGACTTCTCTAGTCTTGAGGGCCACTGCTTCCCCAGATCTCAAAGGGCGCTGCCTTCCGTCCTCAGAGTTTAGGGCCCGGAACCAGACACAGTGGCACCCAGAGCTGTTGACATCTCCCTGTCTGGAACCTTGGCTATATCCATACTTCTAGGGGTATCATGCCCTCCTTGCTCCCCAGTGAGGGCAGCAAAGATTCATCCTCCAGGAACTTGAGGGGAAAGTGAACCAGGTGGCCCTGGATTTCAGTGAGCTCAGATCGGGCCAAGGGAGGACTGACCACAGCCAGGGGCTCCACAGCCACGTACTCCCGGAGAGTCCGCAGGGAACGCGTGGCATTGGACGGCAGGCATCGGAAGATCTGAGGGTAGGAGGGAGCACACAGAAGCTAATTAGTCCTGGGGAGATTCTTCCAAGAGTCAAACCAACTAGGCTAGACTTCCCACTCCCTATACTACCTCTCAGTACCCCTCATGACTGAGGCCATGAATCCCCTAATAGTAACTGCTCCCCAAACCCTCATTCCCCTTCTGAGAATGACTGTGGTGGGACTTCTCTCCATCCCACCCTGAGCAGGATAAACCACCAGTTTCCCACCTACCAGCCCCCCTCTACTCCCACCTGCTCATAGATATTGGCATTGTTCTCTGCTGTTTCTTGCCACAACTGGAAGAAGTCATCACAGACTGGGTCTTGCAGATCCAGGTCTGGCCAGGCATTTGCCCCAAGAATCACACTATGGAAAAAAGGGTCCCAGTGGGGCCCAATTAAAGTCTTAAAAAATATTCTTACCTCTTTTTTTTTTTTTTTAACGTTCCTACTTTGCTGATACCTAAACTGGATTAGTCTGCTATCTCTGAGCAGTCCTCTTTCTAGCTAAAAAGGCAGACCTCCCACGGTCTCCCACCTCCACCTTCCAGCACCCTGCCCAGCTCTACCTGAAACAGTGCTTCCGCAAACTCAAGGCAAACCTGCCTGCCTGATACTCCATTCCATCCATAAGGGATGGCACCATCTCTGTGTCCTCGATCAGCACAGCCAGCTCACTGTCCCGCTTCCCTAGCAAGCTCCGGTCATTGATGTTTGCAGAACCTGGGGTGAGTATGTGACAAAGTGTCCACCTGGGCCCAGGAGAACTTCCCCTCCAAGACCTCAGGACCTTTGCCAGAGTGCCAACCAGCGGGCAAGTCTCAGCTGTAGTCTCTGTCCTCTTTATTCCACACTTGGCCCCTTTCCCACCTTCCCCTCAATGTCAGAGACCCAGATCCAGCACTGACCAATGATGACCGTCCGGTCATCTGCAATAAGCATCTTGCTGTGAATATAGATGAGCTCTGAGACTGGGTGCCCGCCCAGCTCTCCGTGTGTGCGAAGCCCACAGATGGACATGTAGTCCCGCCATGCTGTCCCCACTGCATATGCAAGAGACAGAGTGAGATGGGAAGTGAGGTGAGAGGTGCCCCTGTGTACAGATGGGGCCCTGCCCATCTCCTTCCTTACTTCAGCTGTATTCCGTATCCCTCCCTGCAGTGAAAGACCACCTGTGGTCTGAGTTGCCTCTAGACATGCAACTATAACAGCCTCCTTCCCTCACTCCCAGGCCTCCGGCAACACAAGCTCATTTCCCCAGGGGTATAGGGATGGAAGCCCGGCACTCAGCACTCACTGGCTGCTTTGAGGCGATGTAGGATTGAATACTCGCCTCGACACAGGGTCCTGAGAGAAAAGAAGCATGAAGGACATTAAAAAGAAAAAAGAGGACTGGGGATTTAGCTCAGTGGTTCCAGCGCCTGCCTCACAAGCGCAAGGTCCCAAGTTCGATCCCTGGTACCAAAAAAAAAAAAAGTGTGAGGGAGACCAAGGCTGGGGCAGGAGAAGAGAAGGTATCAGCAGAGGTGGATTTCAAAAGTTCAGCAAGAAGTCATCAGAACAGAATTAGGAGGGGTATGGGTGGGATGGGGCCACTGAAGGATGGAGGAGTGTGGCTGGGGGCTCACCTGTATGTGAAGTGCAGAATGGCCTGGATAGAGTTACCACCACCTGTGGAGATGTCACCCTCAAAGCCAGGGAGCAAGGGCAGAAGCACATAGACTCGGAAACACTGCCCCTGCCTGAGCAGAGAGGCAGAGTTGGAGAAATGCTGGTATCTAAAATAAGCCCCACCCCCTGCAGCTGGGCTTACACCATACCCGCTGTCCCCAACTTCCTGACAGTCCACCTTACTTGTGGGCCTTCAGGATTCTGTCCACAATCTCATCGCCCACCTTGTTCAGGACCGTGCGCCCATCTGAGCAGCTAATGAAGAACTGATTCTAGGGTAGGGACCAAAGACAGGCATTAGCAGGCTGGCCCCTGCCCTTGCCATTGGCTCCCAGCCCCTGTCCCTACTCCCAGGCTTCTACATTTGCTCCAGGCCCAGCTCCACCAGCCCAGATGACTAATCCCACTGGCACTCCCAGTCTCTCTCCTGGAACATCTCTTCCACCTCCTCCCCTACCCTCACCCCA